GGATAGCTATAAAAGTTTGTCTGCACAATTGTATACTGTAAAGAATTTAGAGAGTCAGAAAGGAAATGATTGCAGAACTGAGGTTGCTCTGCTGTTTAAAGGACTTCGAGTGTGTTAAGAATTGGTGCCTGGCCAATACACTTTACTAAATATAAAACATGGAGGCCTCTGGGTCTACTACCTCATTTGTCTGCTGGACACAGTTATTCTAGCACACTGAGAAATGTAACGATTTTTACCTGACTTTACTCACAAGGGGCCAGCAATTGTATTTCTGCTGGAACTGCATGTTATATTTCTGTAGTTAACTTGTTGTCTTCAGGATTACATGGGTTTTTCCTGTATTTTCTCTTTCGAATAGTCACAGGGGCTCTCCCTTAAAGTTAAATAATGTTTAAAAGGACTGCAGGGTAAATATGCTTGATATATTTATATACTCCAAGCTATTGCTTCTTATGCACTGTAGAGAAAAGAAGTGATCCAATTAGTTTGATAAGTCAGAAATGGCTCCCATCTCCAGATGGGACACTTTAAAGCAATTCTTTCTTATTCAGCCAACGTAACTCTTGAAGAGAGCAAAGATCAGTTGTGTGGGCAGCAGGACAGAAGGTTATTAAACCTGCCATATCTTTAAAACAACAAATACACCTTTAGACATGTTTAGTAATGACAATCTACAAACAGATACTTCTAGATAACAGCATGCTTTGTGTTCTTTGCATACCTTATTATACCTTATTTCTCTTTTTCTTCTCCAGTCTTCTGAAAGTGCCATGTTTACTAAGGGCAGATTACTAGCTCTCCTTTTACTTCCTGGATTTCTGGCACATGTAACTAGACATGTCACTTGGACATGTGACCATGCACATCATCTCAGGGGAGGAAAATGTCTTTCCCTGAGATCTCCTGAGATTACAGATGAGATTTCCCAGCAATGCACTGCTGATGACAAGGCAATCCTAGTTTGCATTGCGTTGGCAAACTGAAGTAATTTTGCCCTTTCAAAGCAGGAAGTGAATGCTCTGCAAGTCTAAGGGGTTGATTTACTAACCTTATAAACACACCACGAACGTGTATACACCTCTGCAGTGTGTTCCCTCCCAGCATGATCTATGGGTGGAATCTAAACACCTTTGTAATGTGTACACACCCAGCAGGTGTGTTGTGCAAAGCCCTGAAGGAATTCCAAGGTGATGTTGGGTAAATTAGCTCTATGTTGTGTTGCTTGCGTTGATGAATGCAAGGAATGTAAATGCATGAGCTAACCATTTTTGTCTAAACTGTGAAGCAGCATTATATATGCATCATGTGCATGATTTTTCCATATATGGCATTAGTGGAAATATGATTTTAGAGACTTTTTGGTTGATAAATACGTTTTGCTGTGTGAAAATCACACACACCTGGTGTGTGTGTGTGTTTAGGTTAGTAAATCACCCCCTAAGTATCAAAATCACAACATTGTATACCTGACATTATATATGATGATTAATAATATAGACGAGAGTTGCATTGGTAGAATTTGATTTTCAGTGTAAAGGTCTGAATTAACTAAGTTTGTTACAGACAGGCCTTTTTTAAAAACTATTTAATCATTGAGCTTTAAAATGAAACTCCAGAATCTTTTTTTAAGCTTTGAATAGAGTAAGGAATGGTCAGAACTTGTATTAATTGCTGTCTGCGTCACCAGTGAGATTTGCTCTCACTTCCTGCCATAGAGACCCAGTTTTTCCCCAACAGGAACAAAGACAGCAATACAAATCTGACAGAGGTTCTAAATTGTCCCCACTCTACTTAAAAAAGTGCTTTTATATCTGTCTACACCCCCACTGGAGGGCATCTGCTCAATTTCTCTTTAGATGACCAGGCAGAAAGTGAAGGGAAATCTACTCAAAAATACACTAGTAGAAGTTAAAACCCCTACATATGGTTTTATCCCTTCCCTATTACATCCAGAATGTAAAAAAAAAAAAAAATGGTTGTGTTTCAATTTCATTTGTTTGGACATAAAATGGTTTTTAATTGGTTAGCCTAAAGGTGTGTTTTTTAAAAAAAAGCTAAGCAGTATAATTTGCACTGTAAATTTATATTTATAATTGATATATCTGTGACCAGTAACTGCCTATAGTAGTTGGGAGTATTAAATCGATCATCTGGAAGAGGTGCTCAAAGTGAAAATCTAGATATGATGTGCACTTAATCAATATAAATTCTCTAACCCCTCCCCCCTACCTGTCATGGGCAAAGCTGTGCTTCCATTTGCTACTCCAGTAACCCCTGTAAACTATACCCTTCCCAAGGTGTGCAAAAGCATACAGTGAGTCAGGGACATACCCTCCTAAGTTCTGTGAAAGCTATGGATGTAATGCATATAGACCATACTTGAACTGACATTGCTGGTAGGTAATAGAAGGATTGTGTTATATAAAGTAAGACAACAGTAACATTCACTGCAGCATATACTTATCCTGTACTTGGTTCTATAATGTCACTAAGCCCAGTTGAGTAATAATATTTATAAATGGTTGCCTGGGTGTGGGTGTGGGTGTGTATATATAGCCATTACTTTTCTTTTGTTTTAGAAAGAGTAGGGAATGGTATTTCTTTTGCTGTCTGTGTCCCACATGGGAGATTTATCTATGTTTTCTGTCTGGAAAATTCAACAATAAATTAGAGGAAATGTCCCAAAAGTGAGAGGACTGTTGTCTCCGAAACTTTTGTCACAACTGGATGACTTACCCTTACGACAACAATGGTCACCAGGACAATAACAAAAAATTGCATTTATAAACAGGGTTATTCACAAAAGGGTGAAGAGTTTGGAGAAGGCAGGAGAAGTGAACAATCTAGGACAACATAGATGAACTGGAAAGTGAGCTGAATTGGAGAATTTTGCAAAATCAGCTATTTTGACCTAGATTGTTTACTTCTCCTGCCTTCTCCAAACTCTTCACCCTTTTGTGAATAACCCTGATAGACTTCAACGTTTAAGAGTGAGCACAAATTGGTTATTGTTCAACTTATATTTCAGTGTTTCTTTTAATTTAAAGTTCAGAACTTGTATGAACTAGGAAGCTTCAGTTCACAAATAGTTTTGGAAATCTTGTTAAAAGTTTGTGAACTTTGTGCCAAACCCCATTGAAGTCTATGGGAGGTTAATCTTGTTTCTAAATGTCAGCTATTTGTCACTAGCAAGCTGTTACCAAAGAAGTCATAGGAAGCTGGGCACTGTCATGGGTGACATGCAAACCTCATTTATATAGAGGTCTATTCATGAAGCAGCCGAAGGATCTAGCCGTAACTTCAGCCGATCCTTCGCCTAGCTTCGGTCCCAGGACCCCTTCGGTTCAGTAGAACCGAAGGGCTGCTGTACGGGCTATTCACAATAGCCTGTACAGCTCCCGAACTTAGCTGAGCGGCTCAGGCGAGCCGAAGGTATATGCCTCGGCTTGGCTGAGCCGCGCTGAAAGCCGACAGCCTGCTTCTGACAGCTGGGCGGAGCCAGCCGTGATCTTACGGCTGGCTCCGGTCACTTGCAGAGAGATCAGCGTCCCTGGTTACCCACCCTCTGCTGCAGTTCTCCATCAGGTCCATCAGCAGAGGGCGGGTGCAATGCTAGTTTACTATTGGCTATTGCAAATTGAAATAGCCAATAGGAATCTAGCAATGCATTCCTATGGGCAAAAATTATTATTATTTTTTTCTATTCTGACACGGCTCCGTGTCAGAATAAAGAAAAAAAAAGATAAAGCAGTGTTTCTCTCCTTGGCAGCCGGGAGCGGGAGACTCCCAGAGCGCCCGGGAGAGTTTTTTTTCTTTTTTTTTGACGGCAGCAGATCCGCCGGCTAATAGAAAACTGTTGGGCAGAGCTAGCTGCCATGGCTAGCTCCGCACAATTGTTTTCTATTTACTTTTTTGTACTTTTTAAACTATTTTTCTGTTCTGCTCGGTCCCTCTGATGGACCTAGCAGAACAGCCGAGCCTAATGCCGCTCGGCGGCATTCGGCTATTCATCACTGCTGTTCAGGATCTTTAAGAATAGCCCGAAACGGCTGATTTCAGCCCATATGCGGCTGAAATCAGCCGTACCAGCCTGAAGTGAATAGCGGAACAGCGTTCGGCTCACTTCGCTTTAGGTCGGTCATTCACTCAGCTGCCTAAGGCAGCTGAGTGAATAGACCCTATAGTCTCTATAGATCCACATGCTGCTGCTTGTTATAATGTTAGCATAACTTCAATGATTATTACTTGCCTTCGACTGCTTTTAATTCTAGATTCGTGACAATAGCCTATGTGATAAAACAGCTATTCTTAGAGAAATGTGCAATGAAAAAAATCTATTATCACTTAAAATATTTATATTC